GTGTCTTACTAGAGAGGTTGTTCAAACTCAGGCTGCGGAGTCTGTCATTGAGTTTTTGCTGTTCTATGGTCGACTGTCCCAACTTTCTTTTAAAATCCTGCAAAAATCACATACAGGTCATGATTACTGCTATGCGCTTATGAAGCAATCTACATCTAAATTAAGACTTTTTTAAGAATAAATGGACATTTTAGTATAAATTAATAAATAGATTTAACTTGAATACACAAAGACACATTCAAAATTCATGGGTGCTGTTACGGATGCAGCAGTTAGACCTCTAAATGTTTCTGCAGAGAGTTGATTTCTGTGATGCAGGAGTCTCTTTTCTGGTTGATCATTTCAAGCTCATTTTTATGAATTCTCTTTTTGCCTTCAGCATCTCGAAGCTTGTCAGAGATTTGTTTCTGCTTGTTGCCCTAAAAAGAGAGGGAAATATTTTATCAAGCACGCTGTCCATTTCAAAAATAGGAATTATAATAATTTTGTACGTAATAGAAATGTGTTGTTAAATTTAATGTGCTTGGTTTCACACATAATGAGTCTAGATGAAATGTAGCGGTTGATAGCATGATGTCCTAAATCCTCACCACAGCCTCCAGCTCCATCTCCAGACTCCTCTTCTTGGCTCGGAGCTTGATGATCTCCTCCTGCTCCTCACTCTTCTGGTTTAGGAGCTCCTGCTTTCTCCTCCTCTCCCACTCAAGCTGCCTCTGGCGCTCCAGCTCCTTCTTGGCTGCCTGTAAGGAGCATCATAGCAATGGATGTTTCATAGCAAAGGAAAATGTTTTCCTGAATTTTGTGCATCTATATAAACGTTTTGTGAAATGTAAACACATTTTGGAAAAAGGAACCTGAAACATCCTCTCACCTCCTTCCTCTCCAGCTCTTTGAGTCTCTCCTCCTCTCTTTGTCTCTCCAGCTCCCTCTGTCGCTCCAGTCTGAGCTCTTCCTCCCTCTTCCTCTTCAGCTCCAGCTCTCGTGCCTCCCTCTCTCTTCTCTCCTGCTCTTCTCTGGCCTTCTGTGCCCTCCTTTCCTCTTCCCTGCGCTGCTGCTCAAGCAGGGCCTGCCGGCGCTTCTCCAGCTCAGCATTTCCCATCTCCATATTTTTCTTGAACTTATCCTCAAAAGTCACTAGATACACAAAGCACACATATAAATTATTATGATAAACTGGAATTTTCAAGCAACTGTTATATTTGATAAATATATAAACAGAACTTCTTTTTTAATCTGTGTTTTTATCCCTCTTTTTGGCAACATATCCCTCTTTTTTAATACAACAATATTTATGCATTTTTTGCATGACTTATTTGTCTAAATAATATGGAGGGAGGAAGCTGAAAAATCAGTAGGATGCAAATCACAGCCAGGTAAGCACACTAAAATGAGATTTATTCAATATTCAGGAAATTATTTATACCAATTGTTTAAATGTCTTTCACCAAATCAAATAACATTACACAATCTGTGTAGAACACATCTGTTTAAACTCTTTGATACCTGGTGCAAACGTGGGAGAATTTTTTTTAAATTTTTTTTAAGCGAGTCATAGATATTTGTATTATGTAATAATGGGTGTGGAGTAAACCCATACAATTGTTCCTTGATTTCTGTGGAGGCTCAGGCTCATAGAGGTCCTCAACCAGGCCTGCATAGATCGATGAAGTGGTTCCATTCACAGAATCACCAAGCATCCCCCTAAATATTCATTTTTATGGAGAAAAAACATTGACAAAACAATCTAAGCAATTCAGACAGTAATTTTCAAATGTATTTTACATTCATGACCAATGGTTTGGATATGATTAAGTTTTCAGTCAATCGGAGATCAGGTAACAAACTAGTCAGCAGTACCTCATTGTTGGCAGCACCAGCTCTGAAGGAAGTGCCATAGGCAGCGGCTGTCCCATTTTAGCCATGTCTACCAGATGCATAGCAAGAATAAACTCATCAGCCTGCAGTTTACCATCCTTATTCACATCAGCAAGATTCCTGACAAAAAATATACAAAACATGTCATTAAATCAAGGCATGTAACTATATATTTATACAATCTGAAATTTGCTAACTTTAATTTTTAAAACAGAAAATATCATATGCAAAAATTCATGATAAAAGCAGTCTTTTGAAGCCACCTTTACATGCTTCATCATATTAGGCCTGTCGTAAATACAGCTGTTAATCACAAGTATATATTGCATGCAGCTGCTCTTGTGCAATGAAATCTCCCCCGATTAAATTTTCTTAAAAAAATGCTTCATGCAAGTACTGGGGAGGGCAAACACCTACCAGATGGCAGCTAGCTGAGTCTGAGTAAGCATTGTTGTAGCCATTGCAGTTCTCACTTGAGGACCTGCAGAAATAAAAAAAAAAGCAATAAAATAATTCATATTGATGCTAATTACCATATTCATAGAAAATGATTTTTACTAGATTATAGGGAGAAAAATGCCTATTTGCTGTGTTTTAGAAACTGTCTTTTTTTATTGCTGTTGTTTTACAACCAGCTTGTTGATACTGTTGCTGTACTACAATAACTGGTCTGACTAGAGCTGGTTGATATTCCTAAAGTCACAATGCTGGAATCCTCCTAAACCATCAACACATTACGACATCTAGAAACTCTTTTCACACAGAAAAATTAGTGCCATTCTCAAATTACGTGTAACAATACAGCTTGCCCCTGAGATGTAGGCAGTGGGATTAAACTTAATGCCATAAACCTGTGAAATAAACCTTACAAAGTCATGTTGTACCCACGTCCTCATTCCTGAAATTCTCTAGTACATGGGTCTTTGTCATGAGGTATGTAAGTGATACAGTCAACTGCTTTGCAGATGAGCCACATGGGTGTGCATTGCCATCCTACTGAACTACTAGCCTTCAGCTAATGTCTCTACATCCCACATTAACCGTATAATCATGAGATTATCACAGTAATCACATTTTAAAAGTTTTGTTCCCAGGCATCCTTAAGAGAACATATAGTACCTATAGTACATTAGTGCTATCTGAACTATCCGTTTGGATATTATTTGCACATTAATAAGACAAACGACCGTTTTCTTTTTAAAATCCTTTGTAAATAAATACCTGTTAGATAACCAATCATTTGCTTGTCCAGGCTGTTAAACTGCTGCCTGTATTTGAGTCGTGATGCCTGTGGGACGGCCCAATCAGAAGGGCCGCCCATAGGAGAGTTGCTGGCCAATGATGTGGAGGGGGAGGAGTTTGAGCTGTAGACATAAGTACACAAGTCACTTTGTGTGCGGATAGAATTATGTACACAGTCAATGGATTAATTATATACTATAAAGGTCTATGCGTGAAAGTTCCTGACCTGCTCGAGCCCAGGTCCAGCAAAGATGGAGTGGCAGAGAAGCCCAGTGGAGAAGAGGAAAAGGAACTTGAAACCGGGAGAGCTACGGAAAAAAACACAAACAAACACACCTGAAAGAAAAATGTAGGCAGTGACACTCTTTCAGAGACAGAGTGTACAAGCAATTAATGAAGGAACACATCATGCACGAGAACATAAACTGCAAAGTTGTCATTTTGAGACGGTTTATGCATAAAGAGCTGCTTGTTAAATCAAGATATAGCTCAGTCTTATAGGTACAAGCTGAGCTAGTCCTGACACATGAAGGCTGAAGCAGAGAAAATGCTGACTGCAGTAAGAGATCAGTGTCATTTCACCTTTAGCACACTATATATTCACAGGGGCTCTTGGCTTTACAACACATCCACAATGACAAAACACTATCATTCAAAAGTATGGGGTCAGTAAGATTTTCAAATGTTTTTGGAAGAAGCTTATTTTAAAAAAATTAAAATAAATGTTATAAATGTTACATAATAAATGTTATTATTAACAATGGTACAATGGTATGTAATATACATATATATATATATATTAGTGCTGTCAAACAATTAATCGCGATGAATCCAAAATAAAAGTGTTTGTTTACATAATATATGTATGTGTACTGTGTTTATTTATCATGTATATATAAATACACACACATACAGTATATATTTTGAAATTATTTACATGTATATACATTTATACTATTATATTTTATATTATATATAAATATATTTAATATATAAACATAACATATTTTTCTTAAATATATACATGCACGTGTTTGTATTTATATATACATATACATAATAAATATACACAGTACACACTCATATATTATGTAAACAAAAACTTTTATTTTGGATGAGATAAATCATGATTAATCGTTTGACAGCACTAATATATATACTGATCCCAAACAGTTTAATGCGATGTAAAATTAATATAATCAAAATAAAGACCTGAAGTGTACCATCAGAACTGCCACACTGAATCTTCGAACGGTCATAATCTCAAAAAACAAATGGCATAATTTTACTAGATTCAGGCTTCACTGGCATGTGGACATTACAGTGTCTCTGTCTTACTGGAAATGAGAGGGATGGGGGTCGGCTGTAGAATGGCAATAGGTCCATTAGGCAGGGCTGGAGTGCTGATGGTGGGCATCACTGGCACCGACAGCCCTGTGCCCATCATGGGAGTCATGCCCGGCATGAGGCTCATGGTAGTCATTGGTATAGGGGTCAGAATGGGCACGCTGGGCATCATGGGTACATTTGGCATAATTCCCATTCCTGCAAAAGCACAAGGGCAAATTCAAGCAGACATATCTACACAATAAGACAACAAGATTGCTTGAGAGGTTTCCAAACCATTTCTTTTTATAGCAAGAACTCATTAGTTTAACACTAACAAAATCTATTTTTTACAAATATCAAAAACAAGAGCTAAATCTTAAAGCTGACAAGCTGAAGACATGTTTCTCTAGTACACTTTGAAGGTCGTGGTTACAGCCATCTGTTCCACATTACAACTCAACTCATCTTGTGGCCATCAAGCTGTGCACCTGCTGTCATACGAAGGACTTTCACGAGGATTGAGGTTGTCCTAGTAAATGGGGAAGTCGTGGTTACAGCCATCTGTTCCACATTACAGCTCAACTCATCTTGTGGCCATCAAGCTGTGCACCTGCTGTCACACGAAGGACTTTCACGAGGATTGAGGTTGTCCTAGTAAATGGGGAAGTATCTTTTGACATTTGCAGTATTTTGCACTTTTATAGCATTGGCTAAATCTAAAATCTACTTCTAATGTTAATCAAGGTTTTTTTTCCCACTAAAAACAGTCGTAACTTAACACTAAACTGCTACTGTGCCTTTAAGACTTAAATTACCTCTACATAAATGACCACCATACAATGCAGGCCAGATTGCTGAACACTGAATTTTGATGTTTGGGCAGCATTCATTTGTGACTGCGGCCGGTTATGGTAACTAAAGAGAAACTTTGGCTTGTTCTGTATTGTGATACTTGTGATAACAATTAGATTAACATTAATAATTTGTAATTACAACAATAAACTGTGTACTGATTCACATTTTGGTTACAGTGCAAGAGTGTAACAATTCCAATGCCCTCATAGATCATCGCTCTGCAGGTTATAGTGTAGTTTGGCAGCGTACCGAGAGGTGTTGCTGGCATGGTTGGAGATGGCACAGGTGGCTGCTTCATGATGATGGGCAGAGCTGTAGGAAGATTCTGTCCCTGCAGTTTCATCTTGATCAGCTTCATGGCTATAGAAAACTCCAGCCGGTCCATCCTACCATCTTTATTCATATCAGCCAGGGCCCTACCAAACACAAACAAACAGGTCAAAACTTCTCCGTCAATTTCTTTTTTCTTTCTTTTTAAAGACTGTGCATGGTCAGGATTTATTACCAGATCTCAGCTAGCACAGACTGGGGAAGCCCTGATTGAATGAAGAAGTTTCGTGCTTTCTCCCCTATACACAAAAATTATTAAAATATAAATATTAAATAAAATTAAATATTTGGTAAATAATTTAATATGTAGTACATAAAAATGTAAATTCATTTATGTTTGTATACATAATTAACTTCAAGAAATTCATCTCTCATTAAAAACTGAAATAAATAATAATATCATAATTAGAATAATAAAAAGGTTTTTAACATTAATACATTTGAACAATGGCTCCCCATCACATACCTGTAACAAAGCCCTGTACTGGCGAGAGGGTGTCAAACTTCTGATCATGTTTGTCCCTCTCCTCTGGGGTTATAGCCCAAATACTTCGACCACCTTACAAGAAAAGTAGACAAACAGAATAAGGCATAAAGAAGAGAAAAGAAATAAACTACTAATAGTGCAGGTGGATTCAATATTCTAGTATCAGCAGGTACATTTAAATGCACATAAACATTTATAGTCAAGTTACAGTGGGATTTTGCATAGTCAGGCTGTTCAAATGATATAGGTGGCACATCGCTTCTGTCTTTCGGCACAAGTGTACAATGCAAAGGCCAAAAAAAAAGAATAAATCACACTATATCACATTCCAATTTGCGTTGTCTAGGTCTGACTTTATAAAACCCAAACTGAAGAAGATTTAAGATGAAAATGTTTAAATTAAATATTAAAAAGACAAATTATTACTTTAGTCAGACTGAAATTAACTTTTAAAGTGAAAGTGCATGTAAATGCACTTAGTGTCACCCTGATATTTATTGAAATTATATAGTTAAGTCAGCTTAAAGCAGCAGTAGACATGTAACACTCATTCAAAACTATACACATATTCTATAAAAATGCCATGTGCATTTTTCAGATTTTTTAAACGAGTTGTACATGCATTTGCAAATTTCTGTATAACAAGTCACATACATTCCATTTCAACTATTTTTAAAAAACAAATCATGAAAAAGGTGTACTTTTTCTGTTTTACAAAATAATCACCACCAACTGCTTAAATTTTTTACATAACATTAAGAGTGAGCTGTCATTTTAAATGACCAAATGAAGAGGAAATGACATCATTTGAGGAGCCAAGTTTAAAATCTGGCAAGTTTTACTGTCATTTAACATTCACAATTTGATTAGCTGAGCATAACATATCCACTCCATCACATAACATAGCTAGTAACTTTTTTTCTACCAGTCCCTTGAATTTGACTCTTGAATGATTATTCAAAACAAGGAGAACAGCAGCCATTTTGGCTGAAATTGTCTCAATATCCTAACACATTAATTTTCATTCATTCATTTATCTTTATTAAAAACAACCATTCTCCAAAAGAAAAGGCAGACATGCCACTGAATGTCTTATAAAACTAAACTTTCAATAAACAACATCCCATTTTGAAGATGCTTTCTCAGTTTTCTCAGTAGCTGTACATTTGAATAACATTTATCGGGCCACCCTGTAAATGTTATTCAAATGTACAGCTACTGAGAACACTGAGAAAGCATCTTCAAAATGTATATTTTAACAAGCACAAGTCAGTTATCAAAAAAGCTAAATCAATAAGCAGTGAGGTGTCAAGTGTGACAGATGGGCTGCTGACAGGCAGAAATGAAAGCGGACGGCCAGAGCCGCTGGTGTGTGAGCAACACATGCTGCAGTGTGTGAGAGCAGCGTAGCACCTGCACACACACCACAAATATGAACGAGACATGATAAATAGGAAAGAACTCATGTTCTAGTGCATTTATGAGGCTAAAGGTCCTCTGTGTACACACACACAAATCCTGTTGGTTGGGACACGTGGGTAAACACACACACATAGAAATATAAAGCAGAGCTCTTACCATAGTGTACAAAAACAGGTATATAGATCTTATCTGCATTACATTTCATTCACACACACACACACACACACATATATAATGCTAAAAATTCAGCTCTGCAATCACAGGAATAAATGACATTTTCAGTCATATAAATGCAGCCTTGCTATATATAGCTGCCTCAGGAAAAAAAGGCTGAACAAATACAAAACTATTAGTTTATTTGAATACTGAAAGTCTTTGTGTCTGTATATCCCTGAGAAACACATCTGACCAGACAGGGGGCTGGCAGACACCATGCAGCCTAATTATACAAGACCACCACAGACTAGTCAACTAGTCATTCAGACCACCCACACTTATGAAAATTTGTAGTTTTATACACCCCTATTAATTGGTCAGTATATCTTTGTACATCGGTCGATCCCAAAAAGTCCAAACATCAACTTGGTTAATATATGACTACCACTAATCATAAGTAATTTAACAGACCAGTTGTACTGTATCTGACAGCTGTCAGGTCTTCAAAACCAATTACTGATAACAGAATATACACACATTAAAACCAGGGAGAAAGTTGCTGACAGGAAGTGATGTGTGGCAGTATTTGCTAGGGCTGTGGGAGCAGGTCTATCCACCTTTTTCCTACGCCCCATGATGCTTTGCGTGAATTATGGGTTGAACTTCCGTTACGACGGAAACAATCATTCGCTGCAGTCACAGTGTCGCTACTCATTCATTCATAGCAAGATGTGGAATCACACGCAGACAGAACTTATAAAGGACAACATCAATATACCCGTCCCTTTCTTAATAGAGGAATGTGAGGACGATTTAAAAAAAGTGGCCACGCATAATGTACTGTAGCATTTTTAGCTACTTTGTTGATTCAATTGCTTGTGACAGTAAGGCAATGGGCAACTTGAAAAGCTCAGAGGCTTACCAATACCTTCACAGTAATAAAGTAGGTCGTGTGCTATTCAAAGATGTGGGCAATGATTTCGTGTACTTAACAGCTGATGTGGAGCCGAGTCAAAGCCTGAATGTGTCACACCATAAAGCTTGGGTTTTAGTGTCTACATCAGGTGTCATACAGACGGCAGGGTGCTCATGTCACGCAGCTGCAGTAATGTGGAATGTCAGTAAATACATGTAAAAAAAAAAAATGATGAGGACTCTCAAATAACCTGTGTTTAACGACAATGTACTAATATTTAAATGTATCATTTGATACAATGCACTGTGCAAATACGTTTTTACTCTGTAAAAACTAAAATTATCATCAAAATTATAAAACATTTAAAATTACACTGCTAACCATACCCCTTAAACCTACCCATACCATGGAACCTGTGCCAGCCTTACCCAAATCACACCTCAGTGGCATCAAATGTAAAAAAAATAAAATTCTCCCCATATGCACATAGTCATTAAAGACACCTAATATGAAGTGGGATTGATGATGATGATGTACTATATTATTAGTATTACCATTAGTATTAGGCTAGTAGTAAAAGCATAATCTGAGTGCTAACTAGTGTTTTACATCTAAAAGCTACATTCCTAGGGAGGCAAGAAAATAAAGAGTAAAAAAGACTATTATTCATTCTATAAAGGTAGAGAATGCAGTCAGGCAAGGCAAGACAGGCATGTCATGCACTGATGTGCAAAGGAAGTGGAATGCAGGCACGAGGAAGAATGTAGGGCTGAGGAAGGCAAAACACAAACTTTAAACGCCATAGACCAGGCCACACATATCCAGGCCCATCATCATTACCTTCAGATCTAACAACTTCCCCCCAGCATTTCAAGAACCATGCTGAGTTTGTAAGCCATTGCAATTCATCTGTGATGGCACCACTGTTTCAGCTGCAGACAGAAGGTCTTCTTCAGCTAAGCTTCAGAGCAGATGTAGACAGCAACAAGACCAGCTCAAACCGCACATAAACAAAACATCTCACCATCGGTGTAATTCAGTCAACGCTGCTACTATTTCCAGCGGAAGTTATACCCATAATCGTTTTTACAGCAGCGCCCCCAGGAAAAAGGTGGATAGAGGAACAGAATGCAGTCAGACAGGACAAGCTTCCAGAAAAGCCCTCGGACAAGGCATGCTTGTCATGTGTGTCATATCACTCCCTTTTCTCTCATTCTCTCCCCATCTAACACACTGGCTGTGGTTTTCTTTTATTCAGAGTGATGGACAGATTGAGTGATTTATTTATTTGCATTTAATGCCATGACACAAATCTGTGCAAATATTAGGTAGGTCAGGTCCTGTAAGATTTATTTTTATTTTTTTTTAAGAAATTGCTAATACTCATCAAGTCATAGTGTGACATATTATTACAGTTTAAAATAGCCGTTTTCTATTTGAATATATTTTAAAATGTAATTTATTCCTGTGGTGGCAAAGCTACTCAAGAAACATTTTTTATTATTATCATTATTAAAAAGAAATTTGTATTAAGTGCTGCTTAATATTTTAGTAGAAACAATATCTTTTTAGGATTCTTTGATGAAAAGAAAGAAAAATAGCATTTATTTAATTTTTTTGTAACATTAGAAATGTCTTTACCATTACTTTTGATTAAATTAATGAGTCACTGCTAAATACAAATATTAATTAAAAAAATGTAACATTAAATTAAAAATTAAAATTGAATGATCTTGGACAAATTGCATATTTTAATGAGAATAACTATATTTAAATTAGAAACTGCATGCACTGAATATCTCTCTTTCCAGTACATATAGAGTCAAAGGGGAATCACTCAAAACCGCTGTGTTCCTGAGAGCTTTGAGAGACCAATGGTATTTCATTGTGGCTTTGCATGTTATTTGCAGCTGGGTCAAATTTTGCATGAATTGATCCATAGCAAATATCCAAGATTCAGTTCTTAAAGGGGTCATATGATGCTGCTAAAAAGAACATTATTCCCCTTTAATAAAACATTTAAAAATAAAATATTTCTTTCCACTATATTATCATTTGCTTGCCAATTATAATGTCAAATTCGTTGGTACTGTATGAATTCTATGGAAACACTGAATCACAGAGAAAAGCACAATGTAATTCTGTCATTCTTCCTTCACTCACTTTATTTTAATGACGTGTACAGTACGATGTGAGAACTACAAAGATAGACTGTGAGTTCATAGCTGGGCATGTCCCACCACCTCCTGCCTCCACCCTGTGTATGATTTAACAGCCACAAAGGAACAAAGGAAGTGGGTGGAAAGCAAAAACGAAACAGGATGTCGACAGGTCTCAAACAATGTTAAATGCTCTGGACCTACAGCCCTGTGGTCGGAGAGGACATTAAGCCACATTAAGACCAACAAACCCTGCCTGTGTGTCAGACCTTTCCCTTTTGTGCTTGCCACTGAATTCTCAGTTCTCATAACATGAAAGCATCGATTGTAGATGAGAACGTGGAGCCTTGATCATGTAAAAAAAAAAAAAATCTCTGGCAATATTACCAGAGATGCTTGGTACCAATTTCATTTCCCTATACTGTTAAATTATATTTGCTTATTTGTCAATTATGTTATTTTAGTTTTGCATTATTAAATGTAATCCATTTAACTGAAATACGTCTGTTTGACAGATTTCAAGTACCAGAGCTCTTCCACATTCTGAGAGATGTTGTCTGATGGCTTTATGTTCAGAAGGTCACGTCAGTGAAGCCTGAACAAACAGACAGACAGCTGGCAAGAAAGCATATACACTGTAAATAAACATCACGCTACTAAAACATCACCGAACCTACATCAGGGCTCAACAAAAAGGATCTTTTTGGCGCAGTTATCGGGCCAGGAGTTCACATTTTTACTTGCCCTGCCAACATTTCCCTGACTGTACTTCAAGTAGCTATGTTTAAAAAAAGCAATTTTTAGCCAGTGTTATTTTAGTACATATATATTTTAGTATTATATATTTATATACCATTATAGTATTTATTAATATTTTGAATTAGCTTTTATTTTTATGTTTTGTTTTCATTTTAATTTTGAAGTTATTAATCTTGTTACGTGCTTTTGCCATTTATTTTTGCCATTTATTATTTTATTTCAGTTGTATTTCAATGATCAATTTTTAATTGTTTTAGTTAATAATAAGTGCACCGTTTCAGCAACATATTTTATGTGCCAGAATAAAATATATTTTTTCATTAACCGTTCAAATGGTATTCAATGAAAAAAAAAACGGTTTATCATATTCAATCTTTCATAATCTGATGCTTTCAACATTATCAGAGACCATTCTTCAAAAAATCCTCATCTGTGCTAGAGAGCTAGATAACTTTAGCTTGGTGACATAGTCTAAGAAGTATAATGTTCAATACAGCACCTAACACCAAGTTCGCAGTGCATTAAAACATGCACATGATCAACAAACACAAGACATTATCATAGTATCACACTGGCTCTGTGGCATTCTTTGTTTTTTTAACCCTGTATATAATGATGCCCAACATTCCCAACTGTCTTTTTAAAGCAAATATTTTTTCCAGGTTGTAACCGAATCATTTGGCCGGCGGCTCTAACACAATAACACTGGCAGAATGGATCGGTTCATTAGTCTGCTTAGATAACATGAGCTGTTTTGAGCATTTGTGATGAAGGGCAGATAAGTGCAAGTTATGAAGATACGCACGAAAAGTACACATGATCTTGAACAACTATGTTAAACAAACTATTTCTAACATAAAATATAAATTTGGTAGATAAACATAAATCTCATAGAACAAGCTTGTGACCATTCATCTGAAAACAGAGGACAAAAATCAGTCATTATGGTTTGACAAATCATTCTCCTTCACTGATCCAGAGTTTGCAAGGACATTTCCTTAAAGACTGAAAAAGAATAAACTACATTACTATTAATTTAAAAGAGCCCTAATTCAAAAGCCCAACAAGAATGTAATGTAATGTTATATAATGTTTACAGAATAGAGCACATTACAGCACATTATTAAGAGAGAGACCAGGTGCAAATTGATCAATATGATGTCCAATCTATGGAACAAAAAAGACAGCAAATCAATGAAAGGATCAGAAACACTGACCATTGGCCGTCATGGCCAAAAATGTTGTCTAGTTAGGCAACGCAGTAAGTTTTGAAACACAACCATCATCATCATCATCATCATCTATTAGATCATGTTCCGGTGTTCTGTCGATTTGTGCTACCCGCTCAGATTGTGCTACCTCCCATTAAAAAGATAGGTAGCACAAATCGATAGCGGAAAATGCTACCTATCGGATTGTACTACCAGCATCGTATTCATGTGGTTTGAGGCTTTTTTTTTTTTTTTATGTCCATACCTACCCCTACCCTTACCCTAAACCTACCCGTCCACACCTACCATTACCCTAAACTTACCCTTAAAACAATGCAAATATATTTTTGGTAGCACAATCTGATAGGTAGCATGTTTCGTCGGTACACCAGCAATTCTCACGTATGAATCATTGTAGCAATATAATACAAAAGCGAATAAATATCACTTTAACGTAGGCTATTTTGTTTAACTCCACTAGACAGTGTAGCTCTGCGGGTCAAAGGCAGACAGACAAGTTTGCCACTCGTCTGGCAGGTTTGTGTGAAGAAAGTATGTCCGAAAGCACTTTGAATCAGGTCTTTTACATGAAATGACTCACAATGAGCTCTAATATTTGTAATATGAAGCTCTGAAGGACTTTGAAGAGTGTGAAACTGGACACTTTTCCCAACTCATCACACAACTACTGTAAAACCAAATGATAACCAGCAGAAAATGTTCAACATTACATGCAAGTTACCATAGACGGTATGTGTATAATAAGTATTGTAACTATATTCTAACTAGCTACAACGTGTGATTAAAGCACATACTATTAAAATGAGCAGACATTTGAGCAGTATTACAGGAGGTACTCACATTACACAACAGCATTATTGACTTTGGGAAATCTCCAGGGAGGACAACATATCCTTTTCCATTGTCCTCTGAATTAACGTGATGACAATCGGCTTTCAGGGTTTCTTCAAAGAATTTCTGCAGTGTTTTATTGAGAATCTTTGACAACCTGTTGCTGTACGGCGCTATCAGACAAACATGGCTGACGACGGGACGTGCGCGAGCGCTGAGCGCAGAAGAGCCTTTTAGAGCCGATGATGGGAGGAGCTGAGAGTGTTTCAGTGCAACACTGCTGCCCCCTCACTAGCTACAAAACATCACATTCAATCTACGCGACGCCCTTTTCTATCTATCTATCTATCTATCTATCTATCTATCTATCTATCCAAAACAATACATTCTTTATTGCCACACAAATGGGCTCCAGAAATAGGTCTATCCATCTAGCTTGTTTTCTATTCACAATTACTAAATACTAATATGTTTTACAGCAATATATTCCATATTTAAATGACTTATTTAACCAAAACAAAACTTAATATAGCCTAAATTTCAATCGTGTCTATATATGGATCGTACAGTATATATATTTTAATCCTAATCACGATAATGGTGTTCTCCTAACCTCCTGTTCTTTTATGCCAGTGCAAATTGAGTTTTCGAAAAGAAAATAAGTGAAAATGAACATATGGATGAATTACTTCTTATGTACATATTACTTTATAGTAATAAAACCTCAACCTTAAGCATACAGAAAAAGTAACATCGATAGCAATATAAAGACAATATATAAGCAATATAAAGATATAAATCTCATGAAAATAATTACTTTGACAGAGAATGTTTCTGGAAACCCAAGTATTTCATGAACTTGAGACAAAAGCTACTTTTTAGTTTAGCCTTAAATTGAAGTTTGTACGTTTGTAATTCTCTCTGGCTCAGGGGAAGAAAAGAAAAGGAAGGAAAAGAAAAGAAAAGAAAAGAAAAGAAAAGAAAATAAAAGAAAATAAAAGAAAAGATATAACATTTCCAAACAAATGCCACACGAGGGCGCACTTTACCTGCATAACATTATTGTATACCTTTCCAGTTAGGTTTCCTGCTACATG